CGGAGGAGGAGGGAGGTGGCGGCCGCCGCCGCTGCCATTGCGGCGGGCTAGGGTTTTAGTGGGGGCGCGGGGAGTGGCGGGGTGGGGGACGGCGGCTGAGATCGGGTGGGCGGGGGAGTAGGCGGAATGGGAAACAGAAGAGGAAGCCCGAGCTCTTGTGCGCTGTGGACCTTCCGAAGGGCTGTTTCGTCACTGCCCTTCTTCTTCCTTTTTTCAGGAAAAAAAATTCCTCTCCGTCTGGGACACTAGTGATCCTGGGATGAAATCGTGAAGTTGTAGATGCGCCGAAGCCCCATAGATTATTTCTGTAAACTAGTAGGGTTATGGGACGGAGGGAGTACATTTGATACGGAAGTACTCTTTCTGTTCCTAAATATAAGTCTTTATACAGATTTCACTATGAACCACATGTGCGGGAGTAGTAAATATGAGTTTCAGAAATGGCTTGCTTTGAGTTAAAGATGGATTAAATATGAAAATGGTCTGCTTTGAGTTAAGATGGATTTTCGAGGATATTTGTAGTAGTATAGTTGTGTCATATAATTTCTATGGTTTTATAAAAAAATGAACTCTCCGTACTCACATGGTGTTCACCGTATAGTATTCTACGACCCAAATACTAATACTAACACTAAGATAGTGTTGTATTCTTTGTCCAAAAAAGATAGTGTTGTATTCAATTTATAAGCCTGGGATTATCATCCTATCTCGGTTCACCTACGCGTCATGCAGCATGTTAGTGTAAGCTCGAAGTTGCTCGGAATTGACGTAATTAGTCTCAGAATTAAGCTCGAAATAGCAATTACTAAATGACAGCAGCACAAGAGGCGACGAATCATGGAAGCAAGCTACGGCTCAAGTAAGGTCTCCAGGATGCCCGTCTGCATCAACCGATGCACGCAACCATCAGCTTGGATAGAACCAAAATCACCCCAAAAAAATAACCAAAAAGTTCCAGAGGCATCTTCCGTTCATTTCAATTTAGGTCTTTCTGCACCATGTTCAGATCACATCCTCTTACGATTGGATACATTTTCCCTCTGCAAAACCCTAACAAGGTTGCATTCGCTATACTGAACATTTACAAATGCTCAGCACAATGCCTTTCTAGTGTATCAGGGAGGTGCTCCCATGGCACATAGCCTCACAGCAGCAATTGAAGTCGTCTCTTGGTCTCGGCACTGCAAACTGCTTCGCCTCTACTGAAGATCGTTCAACAGAATGTAACTTCGGGGAACCATACGAGAACAACCTAATCCCAGTCCAGGCTGTGTGAGCGTCCATGAAGTATTCAGTGACAGAGGTGCCTGCGAGCACAGAGGACACAGTTAAAATGCTAAACGCCGATAGGGCAGAATTACGGGATTATGTGAACGAAGTACAAACACCATGCCTGTTTGCAAGCAGCAACTCATGATGATAAGCAGCGCAAAAGCCTCAAACAGCAAAACCATACATACCCGCTTACAAGGTGTTCCCCAAAACAGAAAACGTGAACAAGAATCGTCAAAACGGAGGACATAGGTGAATGACTTACAAGGTGACATGCAAATCATTAGAGAATTAGTGCTTGCAGCGACTAAATGAATCTTGGAGGATACTGATATCCAAATCACGGCCTGTAGCAAAATAGGCATGGAAAGATTCAGGACTGGACTTGTAACTTGAAAGTAATGGATGATCAACTATCATATTTTAAGATTATACCTATGAAAACTATCTTGTTCATGCGAGATTGTGTCTCCGACCATTCTCGAGCCGGCACAACCTCATAGACTTCCCTCACTGCCTGCATAAGGGCAAAAACAGACTTCAGTAATGACAATCTATTCAACAAAGAAGGCATACTTTGGTAACTTTGTATTGCAGAGGACTGGGTAGAAAATTTCGTCAACAGTTCTAGCTTATCATGTACAACCTCTGTCCCAAATTAGTTGACTTAGATTAGTCTAGATACGGATGTATCAAACACTAAAACTTGTCTAGATACATCCGTATCTAGACAAATCTGAGTCATCTAATTCGGGACGGAGAGAGTAGTTCTTTCAGATGCCTTGTAATATGTCATAAAAACCTGTAATGTATGAAGTTGGTTTGAATCATGGATATTCAAAATCCCTTTGCAACGATATATATCCATGTTGGATTTCTTCTCCCAAAGAAGATCTTCAAGCCATGATTCCACCTGTAAAGCAAAATGCATAAGGCAAATATGTAAAACAGATGTCCTTCCGGACTCCAATTCTAAGTGCACGGATGAATGAATTAAATACTCTATTCAGTTGTTTATAACTGCTTGCAATAATGTGTTATAAAGCTACCCTAAGAACATAGACATCACTGACACATCTCATTCAAGGAAATAAAGTACCTTAGCCAAGCAAACTGGATCCTGTTCATAAATGCACAAAGTGGAAATACTGTTATCATGGCGACTATTAGGTGGTGCTGATTTACTGTACTCCAGAAGCTCCTGTAGTTGTGATGAATTCTAGGGGAGGAAAAACAAAGTAAGTCGGAGAAGCACCAAAAGGTAGTGACCAAATCAGACTTCAGTAGTTTATTTACCTTCACACCATATGCCTGTCGATCAAATATTGTATTTAAGTCAACCTGGCACCGCACAGACCGCACCACTGTAACAAGCGCATTGACATCATGAATTTGCCTTTCCAAATCCTCGAGATCGTCTTTTACTAAATCAATTTTGTTTAATATCACAACATCCTGTTACACAAGAATTGACACTCTGTTATATTCGTTTGGATAATTATCACGAACAAGAGAAATTTTAACTGCATCAGCCCATAGGGATCAATACAAGAATCTTGGATTCAAGAAGCAAGACCCCAAAAAGAATGTGTGAATGAGAGATTGGTGCCAAAAACAGTAAATTACCGCAAACGCGATTTGGTGAAATGCTTCAGGAAATGAGGAAGAGTTCGTGTGTTCATCAATTTGCCGCCTGAAGTTTTTTGCATCAATAACCTGAGCATATACAGTAACATGTTGAGCAGGAAACAGTGAAATGTGATCTCATGTTATAAATTCTGGTCCGAAGAGCAATTGCCAGAGAAATAAGCATTTATCTGAACTTGTAAGATATTAGCAGAATGACAAGCTTAAATGAGAAACTGCACTGCAGCATGTGTTTTCTTCCTATTACAAACTAATTATAGGAAACTGTGGCAACAAAAAGACATCACATAACAATAGAAAGCGAACTAAACTAACCGTAATGATAGAATCTAGTCTGATTGATGACTCCAATTGATCGTCCAGCCAGAGAATGGAGACAAGTGGTGCAGGATCAGCCAAACCAGTTGTCTCCAATAATATATGATCCATTCTGCAGCAGATGTAGTGAGTCTGACAGGTTAGGGGAGTGCATTACTATCAAATCCAACATTGAATGGAAGTCAATGGAAGAGCATGAGCTTTGAAACATTTCTAAATATAAATATACAGCGGAACAGACCAGTGCATTGAATTAAAGAAGCGTTGAACTTATTTTTAGAATAAGAAGCACTAAACTAATTCTAGCACTTCATGTAGAACTAGAATAGGAAAGTAGACAAATTTAGCAACAGAAAAAATGGCCCCTTTGAAGGAATAAGCAGGATACACATAATTTGACTTGAGGTAAAAACAGAGCTTCAACACCGAGTCTGGAAATTGCCCCCCCCCCCCTTCCCCCCAACATAACTTTCTGAGGTAAAAACAGAATGTCAACACGAAGTCAGCATATATAGGTAGACAATTTTGGTGACTCGAAACATCACAAGCAACAAATAACCATAGAACAATCGAGTAATGATAGTATTGTACATATCTACAGTCGAGTCCTATGTTGTATGTTAAGTACCCATTCAAGATACTAGATAGGAAAATGTGTCTCTTACCTCTCCTTAGTCTGCACAAGTTGCTCAAGTGCTTGAACCAGGCTGTGTTTTACAGTGCAACAAACGCATCCATTTGCTAGCTCCACCCACTCCTCAACAACGGCACCACCTTGCCCCTCATTGATCATTGCTCTTTCTACTCCAATTTCCTCTCCGAACTCATTCAGTATTACTGCTATTCTTTTCCCATGTTGTCCACTCAAAATGTAGTTGACTAACTGAAATTTTTAAGCACGGCGAGTGACTGTTAACCCATGGGGTCCCAACTAGCTCAACTAATAAAATGACTAGGAAATTATAGAGCACAATTGTGAAGAAAGGGGGAAAAAAGGTGATATACAGCCTAAAGTATCAACATGATGACATTAATTGGAGATGACACTTGAGTGCTGACAGAAAACACAAAGAACAGTGCTACAGTTCGTGCCAGTGATTCCTCATAGTCATAGGACACAAATACAGGCTTAAACTACGATTCAATTTTGGTAAAATTAGAGGCATCCTTGTCAGTAAGGAGTCGGTAGTAGCTGGCGATTTGTCTTTGGTCGTATATGCAGCACCAGGATATCTCGCGCCTACTTTATACAGAAACAGTGGATGGATGGTGCAGCGGACGGGGAGGGAAGCGGGGTTAAGGCACGCAGAGGAATCTCACCGTGGACTTGCCGGCGCCGAGGTAGCCGGTGATGACGGTGACGCCGACCGGCGCGGAGGCGGAGGCGGAGGAGGAAGCGGGAAACGGAGGAGAGGCCGTCTGCGGCGGGAGCTCGACAGCGAGGGAAGGGCAGTCGTCGTCGCCGACCTCCATGGCCGCCGAGAGCTCGAGAGCTTCGCCGTTAGGTTGCTAGGTTTGGGTTCGTGTACGTGAGAAATAAGGAAACGAATAATCATCTTGAAACCTCTATTTTTCTTTCTTCTCTTCTCTAAGAGCATCTAAATGTAAATGTAGTCTATAAATAGTACTAGTATCTAAGAGCATCTCCAATAAAAGATGCAAATTTAAAGATGTAAAACAAGATATGTAAAAATTTACATCTTCAAAAAGTGCCTTTGCATCTCCAAAAAAGTGTCAACTTTATGTAAAAGAGCAACTCCAACAGATGATGCAAACTAGAGATGTAAAACCAGCCGCCGCTCACGCGACTGTGTACAAGTAGTCGGCATGAGTGTCGGTGGCCGAGCGCCGAGAGAAGGGAGAAGCGTTGGTGGGTCGAGCGGCGGTAGCAGGTGCGCCGGCGGCCGAGCGGCGAGAGTCGGGAGGTCGAATGCGGCGGGCGAAGCTTGAATGGCGGGCGGTGTGGCTGTATATCGAGCGGCGGATTGGTCGTGGAGGGGCGACGGGGAGACGGTCGTGCGGCGCAAGAAGGTTGAGTCTGGCAGTGGAAAAGCGGCGGCGACGTGGAGGCAAGTGTGCGGCTTGAATTCGGCGGGAGAGAGGGGCGAGCTCAAATCATGCGGCGGCGATTCGGCGAAGAAGCAACAATTCGGTCGATTTGGAGGAGGGCGGCGACAGAGTAGCAGCGGAACCGGCAGCGGGGGTGGTGGAGAGGCCAGATTTGGCACTGGGGCGGCGGTGGCGTGGTGCAATGGGCAAGTGTCGCGGCGGCGGAAGTGCGGTGGGATGGGCTCCAATCGGTGGCTCCTCGGCGACTACGGCGGCGCGGCGGGGTGGGCAGACCAATGGCGGGGTCGTCGGAGTTGGCCGTGGCCCGGGCAGTGGTCGGCTGGCAGCGATTGGTCGCGTGGAAGTGAAATAAATGACAGTTGGGCAATTGGCGTGTGGTTGCGTTTTTACAACTCCTGCAGATGGAGATGCAAAAAAAAAAAGCACCACGGGGTGTTATAGTTTACATCTCTAGGAGGTGGAGATGTGATTTTTTTACATCTACATTATCATCTGTTGGATAAGAGTTTTGGGGCTTCGGAGGTGCAAAAGTTAGTTATTTTTACATCTATATCATCTATTGAAGACTAATATTTTGCTAATCCTACCGGAGACCATTGCCCCAAATCAGAGCTAATCACAGATAATATTTTGCTCGCTTATGAAGTCACACACTTTATGCAGAATAAAAGGTTAGGGGCTGTTGGGTATACTGATAAAAATATGGATATGAGCAAGGCCTATGACAAGGCTGAGTGACATTTTCTCGAAGCAATGATGAAGAAGTTGGGGTTTACGAGTCTTGGATAAGTTTAATCATGAAGTATTGTACAATAGCAAAATTCCGGTTCAGATTCATTGATACTTTGACAGAGGAGATTGTTCCAAGGAGAAGTTTGAGGCAAGGAGATCCTATATTACCGTATTTGTTTCTATTTTTGTGCGGAAACTTTTTCGAGCCTGCTGAATAGCGCTAAACAAGGAGGTGTGCTGGAGGGAGTAAAAGTGTGTTGTGATGCACCAAGCTTTAATCATCTATTCTTTGCTAATGACTCGTTAATTCTTCTGGATCTTAGAAGATAGTGCACTTCATCTGCAAGATATTCTTAATTTGTACGAGGAATGCCCAGAGCAAACTATCAATGTGGAAAAGTCAATGATTATGTTTAGTAAAAACACCAAAGGAGTGAACAAAAGACGCATGATGGACCGACTAGGGCTGATAAGGGAGACTTGGAATAAACGATATCTAGGGCTGCCGGTGTATGTTGGGAGGTCCCGAATGAAAGTATTCGCGTATTTGAAAGATCGAATATGGCAGCACATTCAAGGGTGGAAACAAAAGATTCTCACGAAGGTGGGAAAGGAATTATTGATAAAAGCATGCGCTCAGGCAATTCCCACCTTCGCAATGTCTGTTTTTATCTCACCAAAGGTTCGATCGATTCACTTTGGCGGCTAGAGCCACACCATTCTACTCTCATTCTCCTTCGTGAGGCAATCCAACCACAAGCAGGAGTAGGTTTTTACACTGTAAGGTGGCCCGAACTTGGGTAACTTCAGTGTCCATTGTTCTTCTTTCCTAGCTCGTGCTCGCTGCAGCGTCGCCGTGGGGTTGAGAGGGTAGAGCAGGGCGGTTGGAACAAGTGCACCCTAGAGTTCGAACCTCTTGGGTCCCCGGAGCCCCGATTCTGACAGGTAAAGCTTATTTGAAATAACTGTTTGTTTCAGATTTCAGATTTAGGTTCGCTGACAAAGCTAAATTTGGTTCCTGAAGCTCAAACAAACAGGACCTAAGTCTAACATATTGTCTATGCATAGGTATTTTATAAGCAAACAAATTAATAACATAATGAGAGGTAATTTAGTAACATGAAAAATTCTACAACAATATTTTCCTCTCTCATAATAATTACTTGTAGGATCATAATCAAATTCAACAATATAGCTATCATATAAAATTTTCTCTTCATGATCCACATGCATAAAAGTTTTATCATCATCCAAAATAGTGGGATTAACATCAACTAAAGTCATGACCTCTCCAAACTCACTTTATCAGAAAATTCACAAGATTAATAATTCTCCAAAGTAGTGGGATCATTATTACCTAAAATTTACGCTCTTCCAAACCCATTTTTAATAGTATTGCAAATTTTATCTCAATAACAGATTCATTACGAGGCTCGGAATTCTCAAGATCTCAAGAAACATCATAATTATCACGCCAATCATGATCATTAGCACAATTGACATTAATAGGATTTACACTAACGGAATTGAAATCATGCTTTTCATTCAATAGATGTATCCCAATAATATTTTCTTTTATCACTTCTTCATTTTTAGCTATTGGTTTGCAACATGCAGCAAGTTTGAAAAGATTAGCAAGTGAATGAGGATCCATATGTCTTTACTTTTACTTTCTATTTTGGTGTGATGACATGACTAGGCAAATAAAAAGTAGAGCAAGTAAATGATAATTTGTATGTAGGAACTTTACAAGAATTTGATGATGTCTCCCCGGCAACGGCGCCAGAAATTCTTCCTACTACTTGTGAGTTGCGTTGGGATTTTCCCCGAAGAGGAGAGCAGATGCAGTACAGTAGAGATAAGTGTCTCCCTCAATGAGAACCAAGGTTTATCGAACCAATAGAAGAATCATGCAAAGCCTCGTGAACAACACATACACATACAAAAGCAAATACTTGCACCCAACGTGGATAACATGGTTGCCAATCCCCTTGAAGTCGTTACTTGCAAGACTTAAATCTTTTATAGATAGATAGATATTGCAAAATAAAATAAAGTTAAATAAATTGCAGCAAAGGAATTTTAGTTTTTATAATATGATAAAAGTAGACCCGGGGGCCATAGTTTTCACTAGAGGCTTCTCTCTCGAACACAGAACATAAGGTGGGTGAACAAATTACTCTTGGGCAATTGATAGAAAAGCACATAATTAGGATGTATTCACAGCAATGATCATGTATATAGGCATCACGTTCGAGACAAGTAGACCGACTCTTGCCTGCATCTACTACTATTACTCCACCAATCGGCCGCTATCCAACATGCATCTATAGTATTAAGTTCATAAAAATGGAGTAACGCCTTAAGCAAGATGACATGATGTAGACAAAGTAAACCCAATCAATATGAATAAACCTCGTTGTTTTACCCTTAATGAAAAAAATACAAATACGTGTCTTGTCCCCTTGTGTCACTAGGATGTAGAGCACTGCAAGATTGAACCCATTACAAAACACCTCTCCCACTGAAGATAAATCAATCTAGTTGGCCAAACCAAGCGGATAGATTGTAGTGAAATACAAAGCTGTGACAATCATGCATAATAAAGTTTAGAAAAGACGCAATTACTTTTAATGAATAATTTGATCATAAACTCATAAGTCATCGGATCCCAACAAACACACCGCAAAAAAGAAGAAGATTACATCGGATAAAACTCCAAGAAGATCGAGTAGAACATTGTATTGAAGATCAAAGAGAAAGAAGAAGCCATCTAGCTACTAGCTATGGACCCGTAGGTCTGTGGTGAACTACTCACGCATCATCGAAAGGTGGCAAGGATGATGTAGAAGCCCTCCGTGACCGATTCCACCTCTGGCAGAGTACCGAAAAAGACCTCTAGATGGGATTGCAGAAGAACAGAAGCTTGAAGTAGCGGAAAAAGTATTTCGGGTGGCTCCCTGGGGGTTTCTCAATATTTGAGAATTATAGAAGGGGAATTAGGTCAGACGAAGCCTCGAGGGCCCACAAGGCAATAGCGCACCCCCTGGGTGCGCCCTGTTGCCTTGTCGTCTCCTCGTTCGTTCTCTGGTCTCCTCCCGAACCTTCTAGGGTCTCTTATGTTCAGAAAAAATTGTCAAAAAAATCGTAGCGTTTGGACTCCATTTGTTACTGATTTTCTGGAAAACAAAAAACAAGTAGAAAATAGCAACTGACATTATGCACTGGATTAATATGTTAGTGAAGGAAATATGCCCTAGAGGCAATAATAAAGTTATTTTTTATTTCCTTATATCATGATAAATGTTTATTATTCATGCTAGAATTGTATTAACCGGAAACATAATACATGTGTGAATACGTAGACAAACAGTATGTCACTAGTATGCATCTACTTGACTAGCTCGTTGAATCAAAGATGGTTAAGTTTCCTAGCCATAGACATGAGTTGTCATTTGATTAACGAGATCACATCATTAGAGAATGATGTGATTGACATGACCCATTCCGTTAGCATAGCACTTGATCGTTTAGTTTGTTGCTATTGCTTTCTTCATAACTTATATATGTTCCTATGACTATGAGATTATGCAACTCCCGTTTACCGGAGGAACATTTTGTGTGGTACCAAACGTCACAACGTAACTGGGTGATTGTAAAGGTGCTATACA